AAATTCTCTTTTCTCTGAGCCATTAATTGACTTTCCTCTTTTTTTTTTTTGCTTTTTAACTCTGCATGCATCTTTATCATGTAAACCCAAAAACTAGGTAAGGCAATTTGTCCCACTTCTCTGATTTTGACAAAACAACTTTAGTTACAGTATAATACAGTAATTTAAAGACCCATTCACTGACCAGCACTTTCCTGAGTCTAAATTATACAGGACACAAACAGAACAGTGTAGCATCCAGCAAATGCGAGAACAAATATTGGAGACTTTCAGGGTATCAAAGATGTTACTTTATTGGCCAAGTTTAACCTGTGCAGGGGCGAACTCTCAAAGTGTCCAGCGACACAGTGCCCACAAGGAGCTGCAAACGACAGAGCTGCGCCAAGCACTTACAACTACGTTCTTATATAGGGGCGGGCAAGCAAGCTTTATACAGAAGCAGATGTGGCAGTTAGCAATTTGCTTACAAAGACCGCGCGCGGGAATTTCAAACCAAGCATTCTTGCATAAGGCAGGAAGGCAGGATGTTTGTTCATTAACCTAGTAATCTCCTGGCTCTAGCTAGCTAGGTTCCTAAAAACTACAAAGCATTGCTTATCTAGCCTACCCAGGGGAGAGCATGTGCTCGACACAGGATGTTTGCTTAACTGCACTTTGTCTCTTTTATCATTTCTTTTTAGCTACAATGTGGTTCTTGTTTACTAAGGTTAAATTTAGTTCTTAATTTCCTTATTCCCAACAAACAGCATTACAACATAACAACATACGCTTTTGATATACGCTCATATGTCAATCAGTTTACCAGAACCCACCCCAGCAGGCTGTTTTTCGGAACAGAGGGTTCCCTGCCTATATTACCAGACGGAACTCTATGGAGCTCCAAACAGATACCCTTTCGGACCAGATGGAGCTCCAACAGAAATCCTTTCAGATCAGACAGATACAGATGTCCTTTCTGTCTGATCGTAGTCGCCAAAATATGTAACCGGAAAAGACATCAGCATTCGGGCTGCCTGTCACTACCAAATCCAATAAGCAATGACAGTGATTGAATCTTTGATAGGCACTTTATTCAGATGGCCAGTGATCCGAGAAGATGGCAGGTTCATACCCTAACAAACCATCTTTCCTTCTCTTTCCTGGCCAGATCTTTTATAAGGGGGCTGGGGGAGGACAAACAGGCCTTGAAATTCCAAGGGAAGAGGTAGTCACCTGATATGGATGTCTCCATGTGGTATCTCCAGCCAGCACCCCAGAAGGTCAGCCGTTTTTTGTTTCTCAGGTGCCAGATGAGCCTTATCTGTAGTTTCTGAAACAAAAAGCTTAACATACACATTACTTGCTAGATTTATGGCTATTTACCTTACGCTAAAATTTTCCAAGTTTTGAGTCCCCTATCACTTCCACTGGTGGCTCAATACTCTTTTGTGTTGCATGCTGTTTTGTCTTTATTCTTTATCTTTGTTGTGTCCTTTGTCATAAGAAGGAAATTCACTTTGGGTTAAATTGGATGTTTTTTCTTTAGTCTTGAGAGTTTGGCTTTTTGTCCTATGGGAATACACTATTTGGTGTCTGCCATCTGGAAGGCTCCCATATCCATGCACATATGACATTTGGCATCTATTTTTAGGTTAACAATACTTATAGTACATATCAATTTGGACTATGAATTTTCAACAAAAATTCTTGATCTGTATTTAGATTTCATAAAGTGTAAACCTGAAAAAGTTGATATACAAGTCAAAGTTGTTCTGAGCATACTTAAACTTTTTAGCTTAAATTTAAATCAAGTGTTGAAATTTAAATGCACTCAACTTAAATAATATTAAAAATTCAGTTATCTAGTTTCAGTAGATACATTTTTAAAAAAGATTTTATTTATTTACTTTTAGAAAAAGGGGAAGGGAGGGAGAGAAACATTGATGTGTAAGAGAAACATTGAAACCCACAACCAAGGATCCGGCTGCAACCCAGGCATGTGCCCAAGTGCCCTGAATGGGAATCAAACTGGTGACCTTTTGGTTTGCAGGACAATGCTCAACCCACTGGGCCACACCAATCATGACTCACTAGCTACATTTTATATACCTCATATAACTAGTGTCTGCTGGGCTAGATTGTGCAGGCCTAGAAAAAAGAAGAAGTATCGCCTCTATCCACCCACAAATGGGACAGGAAAATTTATAACTGGGTGTGATTAAAGCCATTTATTTCAGTGATCAGTGAGGGAGTTTTGATACCTTACCCTTGGGAACATTGAAGTTGTTAATTCTCTCCTCTCCTTGTGACAAGTAATTGTCTTGCAATCCCTTCCTACATAGAGTGGGGTCTCTATGATACAGAAGATCCTTGAAACAGAAGAAAGAAACCTCAGTAGCATAGAGCCAAGAAACCTGTGCCCATAATTCTGATTTTTACTTAATATCATATTAATAGAAAATTAAAGAACTTTGTTAAAAGATTTTACTAAAGTCTTCCTTAAGGAGTTTGCAATCTCTCTCTTATTGAAAGAAAAATAGCAGTTATTTTATTTAGGGCCTAGTTAGAAAGATAGAATCGTCAGTCATCATTGTCCAAATATTTTTTTAACTTTGAGTCAGTTTACTGACCCAGTAACACAACACACTTGCCTCCCTGACACTCCCACCCCCCTCACCCAGACTAGATAGATCTCTCTCCTTTCCTCCCTCCTTAGAACAAGCTGTTCCTTGAAAACAGAAAAGGGCAGGCCACTTCTACAGCCCCAGTCCCTTTTAGGCCCTATGAAGCAGGGTCTCAGGCACTATTCAGAACCTGCTGGAGGGGTGGGTTGAAGGTGTGTGCCATTAGCACTATACTCAGCTAGGCAGAGGCACCCAGCTAGTCCCCTCTGCCTCCCTTTGCCCCCAGGCCCTGAGTCACTATTCCTCTTCCTCTCTGACCTTTGCGACCCTAGGAAGGATTTTTGCTGGGGCTGTAGCCAGGGGCAAAAACTGATTGTGAGCTGATAATTGGAATTTGGATTCTGTTTTTTAAGTTCCAGATACCCTAAAAAAATCTTTGGTGGTGGGAGCAAACTTCAATGCACCTATTAAAAATGCACTTGAACAACAATTAAAATATAAAAAAATGTTATTAAAAATGCACTGACAACATTAAACAGATTACTCTAACTTAACCAAATGCCAGAACAACACTAAGCTCTACAGAAGGAGGGCATCAGACCGGTTTTCTCCAGTCCAGACACCATGCACAGAGAGAAGCCCAGGTGGAGTGTCAGAAAACAACTCAAGGACACTGCTGCACATGGGCTAAAAAGCTGATACACAGGAACCCCTGGGGTGATAGTGTTACAGGGTGCAGCCTAGAGGGGGGACCCCAAATGGGCATTTGAAATGGGGTCCAGAACTTAAGGTGTCCAGGAGATTTTAAGATGTCTCCATCCCCCCACCAAGGGTGTGGGTTGGGGGAAGGGACAAATGGAGCAGGGCCATTGAGAGCTGTTTTGTATAGCAACAGCCTTGCAGCTACCCTCTGGCGTGGTCATTTAACATATCTATAGCCTTTGGCTGGTCACTTAGATATGTTAAATAGCTGTGATCATCTCTGAGCCAGGGGAATGGAAGTAACTTCCCCACCAAGACGTGACTGGGGGCAGATCCCCCAAGCTACAGTGCCTGCCTGGGAGCTCAGAGAAGATTGGCTCCAGGACATGGGGCCACACCTGCCCAGACTCAAGATGGCAGCCCAGTAAAGCTAGAAGGATACGAGTTCTGGCATGTGAAGCCGAGTGTGGGAGGAGTTGGAAATGAGGCTGCAGAGGAAGATTGGCCACGGGGATTTAAAACCCAGACTTGGTGGCCATTAGAAAAGAGAACCACGCGGCTTTGGCAGAGTGGGGACGCTCCCCTTCCCGCAGCCCTCTGAGAGAGAGAGCCATGCTGCCCTGAGGAGGAGAGAACCATGCTGCTTTAGGAGGGAGAGCCACACAGCTTTAGCAGAGTGAGGACTCTCCCCGCAGCCATAGAAAAGAGAACCACGTGGCTTTGACGGAGTGGAGACTCCTGCATCCCAGAGAGAACCGTGCTGCTTTAGGAGAGAGAACCACGCGGCTTTGGCAAAGTGGGGACTCTCCCCTTCCTGCAGCCCTGAGAGGGAGAACCACATGGCCTGGACAGAGTGGGGACTCCCACAGCTTTAGAAGGGGGAACCACCGCCTGGTTTTAGCAGAGATCCCGGCAACTCAGCCGAGGGTGCCAGGAACCCAGGGAGGTCTCCCAGTCGAGATGGAGGACTAACTAAGAACCAGAGGACTGCCTGAGCCATGGACTCCGTTTTCCTTTCCTGAGATACGGTACTCTGGACTGGGCAAAGGGGGAAGGAAGGAAGGACTGTGTGTGTTTGTGGGTGTTTTGAGGGACTTTGGGATTTTTGATAAAGACGTTAGGTCACTACTTTAAGTTTGAATAGCATTAAATAAACATTTCCTTTCCTTTTCACGAATCTCTGGCATTGAGAGATGTCTTTCCTCTGGTGGCGGACATAACGGACCCGGGGCCTTCTTTCAATAATAGTATATTGTCCCAGGCCCCCCTTGTTGTATTCTGTAACAATAGGAAGCAAGGAAAGAAAATACACAAGTCTTCAAAACCAAAAGACAAACAACAACAGCTGGGGACCCACAGGCCCTCCAGGCTTTGCCCTAGACCCAGATAGTCCCTCCGCCTGCAGGCAATGACCTCCCCTACACATCACACAGCACAGTTTAAAAAGCTTCTAATGCCAGTTCATAAATATTTACTATTGGCGATTACATGTGAATAATATGTTTCTACTGTTCTCTATGGAAAACAATTTCAGCCAGTCAACTCCAAGAACTCAATAGGCAGTCCTTACCTTGAGGGGAAGGAGGCCCCCGAGCCTCCTTCCCTGGACAGCAAGGAGCCCCCAGTTCTGTCCCAGGGCTGCCTAACTTGCCCTCTTAACTCTTTGTGGCTCTTGGGCAAAGCATCCTCTGACCGTTAGTCCTCATCAGGCAAGTTCTGGTGCAGGGGGTAAACCATGAACATCACATCTGGCTGAGAAGGGACACGGGAATGGCCTCGAGGTACAATCAGTGCATTAGCAAACTTAAGCAGCACTAGCAATCCTTCTTTGCTCCCATCAGCTAATGATCCATCTGGCATTTCTACAAACAGGCTTTGGTTGGACAGAACTGCATGCCAGGAAGAGACCGTCACCTCAGTGACATCATATTGGAAGTGGATGATGGGAGGTCTCCCATCGTTTAGACGGAGGTCCTGGTTAACAGGGAGCTTCTCATTCTTATATATTACAGCTGAGAAAGAAGGACCCCTGCCGCCCCCTTGCCCACCCAGGACCTTCGATAGTGGATGAGGGCATCAGGACGGACACAGAGGCCCTGGAACTGGGGGCAGGTATTCAAAGGCAAAATACTGCTGTCCTGGCTGTTTATCATCTTTGCTGGCTCTGCTTAGTGGGGGAGGAGGCCACACAGGGAGTGGGTAGGTGGATGAGTGGGTGGGTGTGGGGTCCCCTGCCTCCAACTCTAGATATTTCTAAATGATAGTTATGGAATGTAAATATTATGCATGTAATTATTATATGTTTACATGTGGCTAAGTTAGAATTTTTGACCTTTTAAATGGTCTCATGGCGTGGGATGTACTAGACTCCTATCCATGTACATGTAGATTACTTCCCTCTCTTTTCTGTCTTTGAAAGCAATGCTGGAATGATTGTCTTTATCATTCCTTTTTGGACACTTCCTCAAACTATAATTGCTGGATTAAAAGATTTGTGTGGAAGATGAGGTATTTCAGACAGTAGAGATAATAAAACAAATTGCCAAAGAAAAATAGGAAAGCACTTGATTTTATAAGAAGTAATTTCCTTGGTTTAAAAAATTGGATTCAGAAGCAAGAATCAGTGTATCAGGTGACTGTCTTCAGCCAACATTATAAATAAGGCTCAACATCTTCCTTGTATGACAAGCTTAGAGTGTCAATGAGAGAAGTTCAGAAATAGAGTAGGTAAAGAAGGTCAAAGAAATGATTTGACATCTCAGGAAAGTGGAATTGCAAAGAATAAATAAGCACACAAAAGTCCAGCTCTTTAGTAAGTAAGGAAATTAAAATTTGAACAGTACTGAGCCATCTTTTTTCCCCCCACTGAATTTACAAAGTTTGGGAAGAGATACAGCACTGATGTATAGTGGAAGACAGTGTGAGATTCTGATAAGGGAGTGCTAAACCCTGGCCTGGAGGTGGTGAGGACAGCCACAAGCATTATAAAGAGCGAGCCTTTTTTGTTTGTTTCTTTTATTTTAAATATTTTTTATTGCTGTTCAACTACAGTTGACTCCATTTCCACCCTCCCCCGACACACTCCCCCGCCTCGCCCCCCCCAGCCACTCCCACCTCCCACACTTGATCCTACTGCCCTTTGGTTTTGTCCATGTGTCCTTTATAGTTGTTCCTGAAAACACTTTCTTCTTTTTCCCCCACTATCCCTGCACCTCCTTTCTGGTTACTGTCAGTGTGTTTTTAATTTCACTGTCTCTGGTTATATTTTGCTTGCTTGTTTGGTTTTTGATGAGCCAGCCTTTCACACACTATGCGCTTAAATTCTCAGAGTTTTCTGCAGAGTCCATGAAGAACTGAATTTTATTTAGTTGATTACCATTCAGCTAAATAAAGTATTTGCTAGTTCCTCAGCTGCCCATCCAAGGAAAGGAAATCAAAGTTCATGGTTTTTCCTTCTCCCTGTTTTATTTCTGTTATATAAATGCCCCTTTTGGCCTTTATTCTATAAAATCAATCCATTTTTGGTTTTCTGTGATTTAAGGAATTAATATGCTAAGAATTAACCAAAGCCTGTGAATTTCTCTTTGGAATTATACCGTGGTTCTACCAACCCCTTTGAGTTCTTCCATTGTAACAACAGAAAATACAGCCCCAGAGTTCATGCCACCAGGGCCTGGACCTCACTCACTCAGCTCGGCTTCCATTGGCTGCCTTGGTAAATCTCATGTGGTGCTTGAGCTCCTCTGATCTTCAATGCCAAACCTGGCTCCTGGCTAAGGTCGATTCTAGGACTGGGCCTGTACTGATTGCTCAAGGTTAATTTTTGTCCATGCAGGCAGTGGCCAAGGTGGAGTCTGAACTTTCATTCTATGGACTGGCCACCAGGTGGCAGTGGACAGGGAATATAGAATCTGGTTCCTGTTGACGACACTTTTTCTGTTCATCTTTGCATCTCTGAGGATCTGATATTTCTTGGCATTTGAGACTGTGGGGTTGAAAAGTTTTTGGAATTTTTTTATGATTGGTAAGATACCCTATATTTTTGTGTTTGTGGTCTTCACCCATTTGGGTTCCCTAAAACTTAGAATTTCCTTCTCTTGGAATGCTGGTATTATGTTCATGTTTCGTCATTATGGAACTGAGGCAAGCTACTAAGAAGCTAGGGAAACTCCTTGTCACGTGGAATCAGGACACTGAGGCAGAGAGCTGAACAAACTGGCCAAGCAATTTACTGCCAGATACAGAAGGTCACCTCCCCAGAGACAACATCTAAGCCTCAATTGTATTTCAGCTCCAGGTCCTGGGAAGCAGCAAAACCAGATGGGTGGCACCAAGACCAGCTGCAAAGACTAATGACCCTCTAACCCTGGGCTGACCAATCAGCAGAGACCATGACCCTGAAAGGTCATAGAAAAGCTGATGAATATTCTATTGAGATGTCCCCCTAAGACCTCCCCCAAACTTCTAGACTTTAAAAACCCTCCAAGAACCCAGTGCTCACTCCCAGGAGCATGCCTGCACTTTTCTCTTCCCCCTCTTCTTCCTTCTCAGGTGTGCATCTCCTAAACTCTACCGGACCTCGTGAGACTCGAAACCAGGGTTACAAGGGGCAGTAACAGCTCATCCTGAACTAACCCCCTAAACCTGTCTTCAAGGCCTCCTTCTCCCTGACTTGCCAGTGAGATGAAGAAGCCCCAGCCTAGGTCTCTCCTCTCGCTTCTTCTACGGTAGGCCTTTCCTTGTTTCACTGTCCCCAGCTTTAATAAATGTACCTTCAAAGTCACCTGGACTCATGTTCTGAGATCTTTCCTGCATGAAGTCAAGAACCCACACACACTGGCCTTAAGCAGACCAGCTCAGGCCAGGTCCCCTGCCTAGCAAAAGAACCAAACAGTTAATGAAATGAACACCACATATTTAGCACAAAATGGTCAGTGCTTACTGGTTTCTGTAAATGATTTAACGCTTTCAAAATTACTGTCACTTCAAATTTTTTTAAATAATAAAAGAGAGAATGTAATTTTTTGGTAAGGGTTAATATATGCTAAAGAGAGGCAGACACTTAAAGGAGAGAGTGAGAGAGAGGGAGAGAGAGAAAGAGAGAGAGAGAAAGAGAGAGAGGGAGAAATTGGTTATCCTGCCAGGTTCAGAAGGTAATCACAAAATTACTGAGATTTTCAAGTTACTTTGCTAAAAGATCTAAGGCTTCTTAATTTATGTGATTGTTTTTATTAACTAATCAATGCTTTTATAGAAACTTCAGCCTCTGTCTCTGTATTACTTAATTTTGTTGGAAAGCAAAGTACTCTAAAACATAGTGGTCTGAACAACAAACATTCCTATATATAGCTTATACATTTGGGGTGTGTTGGAAATTTAGATTGGGCTTGGCTGATGTTGCTTGGGGCTCACTTATGTGTTACTGCTGGTCACTGAGTTAGCAGACTGGCAATTGGCTGGGATGTCTTGGTTATTCTCCATGTGGCTGAGCTTGTTCACCTGTTGCTGGGAAAGTCCCAGAGAAGCAAATCCCATGCGGGAGCACTTTTCCGATCTCTACCTGCAGTGCCTTTGCTACTGTCCACTGGCCAAAACAAATGACAAGGACATCCCAGACTGAAGGGGTTGAGAAAGAGTGTACAGTTTTCTGAGAAGAACTACACAGTCTCATTTCCCAGAGTATGAACATGGGAGGTGAGGATAAACAATTTGCAATCCTCTTGCCATCAATTTACCATAGTTTCTACCATGATTTTTTCAACTTTACCACATGTGACTCCTATAGTTTGCACAAGAGTTGGTACAATTTCCCTTTTATAAATATAAAGTATTTTGAAACAAACTGGCATATGCTGTCTGCATCAAGGAGGGAATTAATCTAATTATAAAGTCTCTTAAAATTTAACGGAGTGGTGACAATATTCCAATAGACTTTTAAAAAACAATGTCAATATATTAAGTACATGTGTAAAGTTAAAAATACAGAAAATAAAAGATTTATGCATTTTAACTTTATATACTTTTAAAATGTTAGCTCCATATTTTTTGAAAAAGCTGTATATTGGAAAAAAAGCAAAAATGTTATTAACTATCAATTTAATTAATGACTTTGATTGCTAGGTTTTAAGATTATAATGCACTAAAAATTACTATTAGCAAGTATAAACTTTAAATATTTAGTATATAACTGATCAAGAAAAATATTCTTTTCTGGTAATATTCCTAGTTGATACTGTTCTGACTGATTCAGTAGTTGTTGTTGTTGTTGTTGTTGTTGTTTTTGTAAAACACTTCTAGGTCTTTTTTTTTGCTTTTACCACTATGTAAAAATGATGTTGGCATAATAATCTAGTCTGTTTATGTTCTTGTTTTATTATCTTATGCATAGCCTAGTTATTTTGAATACTCTTATTTTTTCTTTTTTTAAGGTAGACTATCATCATTGCATTAAGATTACAAAATCATGTGTTTAACTCAATCAAATTATTGTAACTAATATCTGTTTTTAATCTTCACCTGAGGATATGATTATTAATTTTAGAAAGAGAGGAGAGAAAGAGAGAAAGAGAGAGAGAAGTGAGAAATATTGATCAGTGGCTTCCCTACATGTCCGGACCAGGAATGAAACCTGCAATCTAGGCACGTGCTCTGAGGGGGAATTGAACCTGCAACCTTTTTGTGTAGAGGATGACACTCCAACCCACTGAGCAACCTGGCCAGGGCCTGTAAATAATGTCTTTAATAAAGAATTACATTTTTAAAATGCTACAGTCATAACTCAATTTTTCAATGCATTTCTCAGATTTTAGTTAACTTTAAGAGCCTAGAATAATATTAAATTGAGGGGAGCTAATTTATAAATAATTTTTGGATATCTAGACAATGTAAAACTAAGAACAAAGATACAAATGACTGGTTGCTAAGTCAGTAAACATAGTTTTAATTTATGCTTGTTGATTAAACTTACATATTTTAGAGTGGCACTAGATTAACAAGATATAGCACATACAACTGCCACTGGATGATGTTACTACACGTGTCCTTTTTTCCATCTTATAATTTTAAAAGTAATACATAAAGTGGGTGGAAACCTCCTGTGGGTGGAAACACTTGACATTTAAGGTTTTCTGCTTCTTCTATTAAACCAAAATTG